GCCTCCCCTGCCACTACCGCGAGGTGCCGCTCCGCTGCAACGAGTTCGAGATGCGCCTCACCGACCCCGTCCCCCAACCCAATGCCCATGAGAGCAAAGAGTGAGGATGGTCCCCATCCCCTGGGTCCACCAGCCTCTTCCATCCCTGGTGTCAGGTCTTGGGTGCCCCCCCCTGGGGTGTGGGGATGCCAGTGCCAGCCCACCACCTCTGTTCTCTGTCCGGCCAGGTGGTACCATGCCAGCTTGACGCGTCTGCAGGCCGAGCACATGCTGATGCGGGTCCCGCGGGATGGAGCCTTCCTGGTGCGCAAACGCAGTGAACCCAGCTCCTACGCCATCTCCTTCAGGTGAGCGTGGCCACCTCAGCACCCCGAGGCCGGTTGGGTTTGGTCGCAGTGCCCACGTCATCGACCAAGCTGAGATCTGCCTGGCTTGTGTCTGGTGTGACTCCGCTCTGGGTGGCAGGGCTTGGCTCTGGGTCAGTAGGGCGACACGATGGGACATAATTCAATATGAGCCGGCAATGTGCTCTTGCGGCCCAGAAAGCCAACCGCATCTTGGGCTGCATCAAGAGGAGCATGGCCAGCAGGTCGAGAGAGGTGATTCTCCCCCTCTACTCTGCCCTCATGAGACCTCACTTGGAGTATTGCGTCCAGTTCTGGAGCCCCCAACACAAGAAGGACATGGACCAGCTGGAGAGGGTCCAGAGGAGGGCCACGAAGATGATAAGAGGGCTGGAGCACCTTTCCTATGAGGACAGGCTGAAAGAGTTGGGGCTGTTCAGCCTGGAGAAGAGGAGGCTCTGGGGTGACCTTCTAGCGGTCTTCCAGTACCTCAAGGGGGCCTACAAGAAAGATGGGGAGAGGCTGTTCAGGAGGGCCTGTTGTGATAGGACAAGGGGTAATGGTTTTAGAACAGAGGGAGGTAGATTCAGGTTGGATATTAGGAAAAAATTTTTTACCATGAGAGTTGTAGAACACTGGAACAGGTTGCCCAGAGAGGTGGCTTCCGTGGCGACGTTCAAGGCCAGGTTGGACGAGGCCCTGAGCAACCTGATCTGGTTGGAGATATCCCTGTTCCTTGCCAGGGGGTTGGACTAGATGACCTTTGAAGGTCCCTTCCAGCCCTAACCATTCTATGATTCTATGATTCTATAAGCTGCTGTCATGAGGAGGCTGTGGTGGTCCTCAGGGCGGTCACTCCAGGGCAGGGCATCACCCCCTGCCCGTCCCCACCATGGAGCCAGGGTCCGGCTGCCCCTCATGGCTTCCCCCTGGTTCTCTTGGCCCCAGGGCGGAGGGGAAGATCAAGCACTGCCGCATCCAGCAGGAAGGTCGGCTCTTCATGCTGGGCAGCTCGGCTGAGTTCGAGAGCCTCGTGGACCTCGTCAGCTACTATGAGAAGCACCCGCTCTACCGCAAGATGAAGTTGCGCTACCCCATCAATGAGGAGACCTTGGAGAAGATGGGCACCACCGTGAGTGCTCCTGGCAGTGGGGATGGTGGGGATGGGGGCTTTGTGCCACAGGCAATCTAGTCCCGTCCCCACCTCCACCACGGTGGGAAGGTCTCCTCCAACCTGTTGGGTGAAGCCCAACCAGAACCAGCCAAACTCGTTCTGCAGCCATTGCCTGTGGTTGTAGCTCCACTGTAATTCCCTTCTAATGACTTGCAAAGGGATATTAGGTCCCTCCAAACATCCTCTTGATCACATGTGACAGCCTGGCTCCCACCACATCCCCTTGTAGCCCCTGCCCACGTCTTGATGACCCACTCAGGCATATCTTCTTGCAGGAGCTGGACTATGGAGCCCTGTATGAGGTGCGGACCCCCCACTTCTACGTGGAGGCCAACAAGATGCCGATGGCCAGGGTAAGGGGCCAAGCTAGTGTCCCTGGGAGGTGGAAGGTGGTGGGACATGACAATTCTAGTGCTGGGGCTCCTGGGTGGTGTGTGTCCCTGAGACCCACCACATCTCCCACCACTGACCTGAGAAGTGGTGACATTTCACTGCATTTTTCTGCCCCTTGAGTGATGCTGGAGCTGGTGGGACCTTTCCCACTTCCCCATCACTTGAGGTTGGTCTAAGTTCCACTGACAGCATCATGACGGCATGGAAGGCAAGATCTGGAGAGAGCCTAGCCTAGAGCAAGGACCTGGCACAAG